AAAAAAAATACACCCACCCCCAAATAAACAGAAATATTTGATTTTGTTGATACTTTCTTACAATATACAAAGTTTGAGGTGGAGTTTAAAGTTGAGCAAAAGTCCACTACAATTGATAAGCTTACGTTGCTCTGATTGGTCCTAGGATTTTCACAATAACTTTTAAATTATCAAATCTGACCAGATTCTGATGAAACTTTGTTAATACTTATTTCACACCATGACAAAGACCAAAGACCATGACCATAGATGGAGAAAAGTCTGCATTTAATTAATTAGCATACTGAGCTTTAATTGGTCTAAAGATTTCTGATAAAACACTTTGTCAAGTAAGGCAGGATTTTGATGAGGCTGTCGGTAGTTATATTCTAGAAAAGAAAACTGCAGGATTTAAGTTTAGCAAAATCTGTGCATAACACATTGGCATACTCGGCTTTGAATGCTTTGAGGTTTTCACACAGTAACCTAATGTTTTATGACTGGATTTAGTTTGACCTTGGTCAATATTTAATAAAGTACACACTTTTAGCCAAATCTGCCTAAAATGGGTTTAGTATGAATCAATAATGGGAAAAGGGAGGCAATGCCAGCTTCTCTTGTGGTTTTGAGTATGAGCATATGGAGGTAATTTCTATATAGCTTCAGGTTTCTTAAAGGTGTTTTATAAGGATATACAGTATGACATATCTTCCTTAGATCAAGTGTGAAAGGTACTATATGGGTCTATATCAACTTTGAACACATTCCAGAAATAAGTAACTTACTCTGTAACAGTGTCTACTTGGTATATTGAAATATTTTCATACATTTTAATACAGGAATCATTTTTGTATTAAAATGTATGTAAAAGATATTCAGAATGCATCAGAAGGGTTGTAGTTTGTCAGTTTGGCATGTAGTATTGTTTTGCCCCTGTGGTTGTCTTGCTAAGAATGTTCATGTTATCATGATTACATAGTATGAATGTCTAAGGTATATAAAGTATATCTTTCGGCAAAGAAATATACTTGAGGTTTGATAATTGCAGTGTACCCCATTATGGAATTTGACTGATATGATCACTCATTTAGTACACCTTCATTTTCACTACATAGACTTCCTGTTTGCAAAATTTGTGATGTGCAGTCTGGAAAAAACGCATTTGATTAAAAAGATATGGCACCTTTTTGCGAGGTTTGTGTGATAATTTTCCCATACTGTTGCCGAAGAGTGGTTAGCAATAATGTGTGGTGGAATGTTAGGTTATTACTGCCTACTGACATATGTCAAGTGCTCCCTAAAATGTTAATGAGTAACCTCATGCTTGACATACAAACGCATGCCCTGGTCCTGAAGTCATTTGTGCATGGGGAGTGGAGTGTTTGCATGATTGCAAGGAGATTAAAATTGAGCATGTCAGAAAATATGTCAATGTGTGCTATTTTTAACATAAGTAGATTAAATACCTGGTGTATATAGCACTGCTGGTGAAATGGAGGTAATTTCAGGTCATTATTTTGCCCCATATGTTTTAGGGGTTAGAGTTTAGCATATATAAATATGGTACCAAGAGATTGGCAATTCTAACAAAAAAATCTTTACACACTTGCATTGATACTTCCTTGATAAAATGACTGTAAAATGGACTGTTTCTAATGCTGTTGGATAGAAACATTTTGTCCCCAATATTTACACAACACACATACACACATGTTTATGTGAACAGGAAGGCAAATTCTTTGGGGTGGAGTTGTTTTGAATGGCCAGAGACCAAACATTTGAAAATAGAATTATATTGCACTTAAAACCTGTGTAAGTCATTATTTTATATAATCATGAAATGTACTTTTATGTTCATTCCCTCACAGATGAAAAGTTACCAACACCCTTTGAACTGTCATTCCCAAGTTTATTATAAGATAAAATTCAAGCATATTCTATGCATAGTTTACCAACATTTGAATATAAATCGTTGAATATGAATCTGAGCTTACTCCAAGATTAGGTCATTGTCTTAGGTGTTTGTTTAGAAATACAAGAAAATTTAGGGGGGAAAGCGAGCTTATTACTTAGAACAAGTGGTTACAAGTAACTTTAATATCAAGTGTTTCTGAAAAGGTGATTTTTTTGTAATAAGAAATACATCAACATGGACTTGACAAGTGATACATAAGCATTGATGTACCACTCATTTATACACGATTCCCCTAACTGTTTGTTTGTGTTTACAGAGAGCGAGAAGAAGACAGCGAGCTCAAGTCCATGATGCAGAACAAAGGCTTTAATCTCAGTCCACTAGACAGTACCCGCAAGCTACGGGACTCCCAGGGGTTCCCACTGTCCTGCTAGCATATCTCACCATAGTCGGACTACACCACATAACAACTAGACAGAACCAAGAATAAGAATCCTGATTTATCTGGATTTTGAGATACTTGCAGTGGAATAAAGTTTATACTGTGTCATGATTCTGAGAATTATTATCAAAGTGGAATGTTTTGCTGGATGGAAAAGCATAAGTCAATCTAGACATCGATGATAATGTTCGTGTCAGTCACAAAACAACTTCATATTGCTTCTGTCATCATAATTCAAAGATATTTTTCAAAGTGCTATGCTTGAAGTGACAAGAAATGGACTTAACAAAGATGTCCTCATGCATACCAACTATTTAAAGTGATATAGAGATTTACACAAGACAACCCCCTCCTGCATGCATAGCAACACTGTTCAGAAGTGTCCTAGCCATGAACTGCAGAAACGGGACTCGGGACAGCTAGGTCTGTGTTTGTGGCACCATTGCAATGAATGCTATGTACGAGTATACTTGTATCTTGTCTACAAGTGACTGAACATATTTCTGCGGAGTCCTGTAGACTTCAGGGAGAAAAGTGCAATCAACATATTAATCATTTGTGTAATCCTCACATGTGAACAGCATGTATTGTGTCTATGAAGTTATGTCCAGTTACATTTGCATGTTTTGTTACGTGTCACCCATCAATAGGCTAACAAAGTCTGATGATACTTCACCTTAAACTATGAACGTCTTAATAAGTACTCCTGTATTGCAATATTACCATTTCCAGTTTTGTTGAGTTTGATGAAGAAAAAATTGCCAACAAAATGGTACAATAAATGCAGAATAGGATCCTGAATGTTCTATTATAAATCAGAAATGCATTTCCATTTTGTTTCATTTTTATAATGATAATTACTTCAATGTTGTCGCAAATGTTGACAATACGGAATGGTGACGGATAATACAATTGTATTATCCGTTGTTTTTAAGAGGATACTTTTCCTTTAAATTTTTAAACTTTCAATCACAAAACTGGATCTGGGAATTCAGTACAAGGTATGCTTCATACTATTTGGATAGAAGTATATTACACTATAAAGAGGTAAGAAGGGTCATTTGACTAATGTGTTAGGTATAAAGTGCTGTATAAAGACTGGACCTTCACAGGAATATCCCCGGTTACATAGCATTATGTTAGCATCACTAGTTTATGTAGGAGTAACGGCCCAAGTAGTCGATTCATAATGGAAATGGCCAGTTTTCTTATATCATAGTTACTTGTAAGTTTGGAGAATATAAATCTGCTAGACTTGTAATGAGGGTTCAGTGAAAAGCATACACATACAGAAATAATCAAATCATTGTTGTTCTGATACACCTTCATTTAACAAGATACCAGATTTTCTATGAACCTGTCCTATTGAGGAAAATGATATCCTTGCTATATATTCTGTGTGATATTATTTATGCAATGATCTGACTTTTCTCTCTGCCTTTGTTATGTTAGACTAGGCGTAAACTTCTGTGATAGTCTCCTAAGTTAAGGAATGTCATTTACATGTTTATAGATAAAAATCGTGAATTCTGTGATGTGTCTTTTCTCTAGAAAAGTATCCTTTAGTATTCGTCTTATGTTCAAAACGTTTTGTGGATTTTATTGAGAGACAGAAAACAGCAATTGTACTTTTTACAGAAAGAACTCTTTGACTACAAATATATTGGCACTCTTATAAATTTTTCTCTCTTTTATTTTTTAGATATTGCACCAGCAACAAACTATAGCCATATGATAAGTGGGAATAACCCAGGGTTCTTTGAATATGTTAAGTTTCCCTTACAAATATGCTTGGATACATTTTTCAAACATCAAAGTGTAAATTCAGGGTAGATATACTTCAGAGGGTATTTTATGTGAGACTTTCATAAGAGCAAATCCTGTTTTTAATGATGTGATGCTTGTCTGCTTTAAAAGGTATTTCCTGCTTGTCATTTGAATTTGCTTATCTAGTTGTCAAATTTGTTTCAATTTTACCACAAAAAAGATGGATGATCCCTGGCATACACAATTTGATATGTATTGTAAGTGTCCAGCATAGCATTTTTGTTTTATACAGCTCCTTGCTTTTGATACATGTCAGAACTGCCAATGATATTTACATTTTTGGTGTGATTTTGTTTGGGCTAATTTTTATCAGGACTTGGTGTTCAGACATGCTATAGGTGTTTTGTACAATGATAACACGTGTACATTCCTTGTCCAAATAACAATACCTACATATGTACCAAGGTCATTACCACCGTCGTCAACTAAGTGATTTGATATGAGTCACGATGACGTACATTTGTCCGAAGTGAAAGCGTACATTGACATAGACAATACCAAACAGTAAAACCCAATATCCAATATAAATGTATTATTTGTTTGGGGTATTTGTCCTTGCCGAGGTCCATTACCAGGTATTCCATAAAAATTTCATGGTGTAAATGGAACAGTACTATAATATTGACAGATTGGTATACTGAGGAGTAAGAATGGTGACTGCCATCAACATTGACTCGCCACTACATCACTTACCCTAACACCGACATCATTTAAACGTGATATTTTATCATTTAGGCATTAAGGGATTGGATGGATCATCTGTAGCAAGCAGAGTGAATGGGTAATATTTGGTGCAGAATATTATAATTGGGGAATGTGAAACATATACAGTTGTTGTATTTAACTCATTCACCCCTGAAATTTCTTAATGAACTATTCCAACCTTTGAATTGGAAGGGCTCAAATGTTTCATCAGGAGTGAATGAGTTTAATAAAGGTACCACTTGAGCACTTTTAAACTGATCACAGGAGCAGGTGGTAACTGAAGGCACTGTAGCCTTATCTTATTGGGACCTGCATTTTCCTTGAATTATTTTTCCTTTATACTAATGATACATAGATTTAATTGCTATTCAGTTTCTAGAGAAATTCCTTGATGTGTTAAAAGATGTTAACAGTTGTCGGAGTTCACATCTTGTGAAAGGGACTTTGTAGGGAGAGTGCATTATTCCTGTTGTGCCCTTAGTGTAAACAGGCCCACTGTTGTAATATTGACTATATTTATAGTGTTTGTACAGGCCAAATATAAATGATGCGGTTCAGTTTTTGTTTGCTTCAGGTCTTATTTAATGTTTTGCCTTTCCTATAATACATGTCATTGTACTGTTTTTTCTCTCTTAGATATATTTATTGTTAAACGAGTTCCGCTAAGCCAGTGATTACAATATTTAATGAAAGAGCTTTGTGAATAGTGAGTGAGAGAGAAAGAAAGAGAGCAAAGACAGACAGGTTGAATAAGCAGGGTTGAGAGATTGAAAGAGGAGGAAAAGTGTTGGTGGTGAAAGTAAGTTTTATTGATATTTATGTCTGTAACATCACTGGTACACTTGTATAAAGTAGTGAGTGAAGGGAGATAAGTGATTATGTGACTTATTGTACTCACCAGTGATTCACAACCATGTGAAAAACTTAGTTATTCTGTTGAGAACTTCCTGTTTTATAGTCTAATAGTAACAATTTTAAGTAAATCAAATATTGACCAAAATTATCTATTTTACGACAGAGTATTTAGCGCGGTTACTGGGTATGTTTATTGTTTGAAAAATTAATTTCTGTCTGTGTACAAAACAGCAATGAGAACTTTATATGTTGACCTTTGTACAATTTAAAAATCTAAGATGATACGTTCAGATAATCACAAAATTCAAGCATGTTTTTATAAGTTTAAGAAATAACCATTACTATAAAGTTTTGGTCTTTGAAACAACTTTATGTAGTTTCTTTTTACTAAAAATGTTTTAAATGTTTTATGCCAATTACTCAAAAATTAAAATCCTTTAAATAAAAATCCACAGGTAAAAGGAGAAAGTACTCTGCATAGAAGCTGTTGTGACTTTCAAGCATTTCCAATTGTTTTCAGATAAATATTCTTACTATCTACATGCCAACACTTTAACAAAATGTAGAATTATAGTAGCATTTAACTTGTGTCTGATGTAAGTTATTTTGAATCGACTAATAGTAAATACAAAGCTTCAAAAATATGAAATATACTTTGTTTGTAGGAAATTGTCATTAAAAATGAAGGTTTACAAAATTTGTCATGGCTAAGTGGAGTTTGTATTGATTTGTATGTTGGAAATAATTTGAGAAACAGAAAGACAGAAATCCATTCAACTAACACTTTGTACATAATCATAAGTTTATGTTTAACAAGTTTTCCATAAGTTCATGTCAATACGTTTTTATCAACTTGTAAAGGTACAAACCTGTATTTTCTCAAAATCCCCCAAAAGACTGCTTTGTTTATCATTGTGTTTAAGGATCTTGTTTTAGCATTAAATCTCATCTAGTCATTTTCAAGCTGCAAAGTTTGTACTGTAACACAACAACCCTGCACTGGAAACTGTTTTATATGTGTAGCTTGTCACTGTTACAAGAGTAACCACCACAGGCGTATCTTCCAGGGTTGTGACATCTGGCTAATAAATATTACCCACAGCTAAACAATGACTTCATGTTTTCTCTGCTGGAGTTATTTTTTAGCCCACCATCAAATGATGGTGGGCTATTCAAATTGCCCTGCGTCCGTCCTATGTCCGTGAACATTTCTTGTTATCAGTGTTTCTCAGGAAGTAAAAGAGGGATCTTTCTCAAATTTTAATTGTAGGTTCCCCTTGGTCTCTAGTTGTGCAGAGCAACTTTTGAGACTGATCGGATAAACAACATGGCCGACAGGCAGCCATCTTGGATTTTGATAGTGAAGGTTTGTAATCGCTATCTCTCTGATAGTTCCAGAGGGATCTTTCTCAAATTTGACATGTAGGTTCCCCTTGGTCCTTAGTTGTGCAGGGCAACTTTTGCGACTGATAAGATAAACAATATGGCCGACAGGCAGCCATCTTGGATATTGATAGTGAAGGTTTGTTATCACTATTTCTTATTAAGTACTGGAGCAATCCATCTCAAATTTTATATGCAGTTTCCCTTTGTCTGTAGTTGTGCATGTTTAATTTTCAGACTGATCGAATATAGGAAATGGCCAACAGGCCACCATCTTGGATAGTGACATTGAAGGTTTGTTATCACTATTTCTTAGAAACTATTGGTGGGATATTTCCCAAATTTGTTATGTAGGCTCCTTTAGGTCTGTAGTGTTTATTTTTGAGACTGATCAGATAAACAAAATGGCCGACAGGCAGCCATCTTAGATTTTGAAACTGAATGTTTGTTATTGCTGTTTCTCAATAAGTAGTGGAGAGATCTTTTTCGAATCTTATATGAAGGTTCCCCTTGGTCATTAGTTGTGCATATTTACTTTTGATACTGATCAGATAAACAAAATGATTTTCGACTTTGAATTTTTGTTAGTACCATTTCTCAGGAATAACCTGAGAGATTTTTCTCTAATTGGATATGTAAATTCCCCTTGATCCCTCGTTGTGTATGTTATATTTTGAGACTGATCAAAACAAAATGACTAAAGGAAGTCCACAACTAAACAGATCATTCTCATATTGCAATGATCGATTCTTCTTTCACATTAAGTACTGTACTAGTAAATATGTGAAATGACAAACTCACTTTGAAGGTTGTCTTTTATAAACAGCGGTATTAAATTACCCCAAAGTGCATTTACTGTTAACATGACTTGATCGAACCCAGATTAGAGAAAAGAAGAGAAAAGATCGAAATGATAAAGAACTTATGAAGATGGTTCAATGGTGGGGCGCCAAGGTCCTCTGGGATCTCGTTTATTCAAGACAACAATCTTGAAACCAAAAATAATTATCCTGTCTGTCAATAAATACAGTCTGGCATCCTTGGAAGCAAAAATAGAAATGTGCGTCACAGGGGCATGGCACGGACTAACATCCACATCTATATGTAGGGATTGGGGTTAGTCTATCTTGCTCCTAGGATGATACGTGTACATAACTGACACCCCTAGGATGTGTGTAGTTGTCATTGTACACTGGGACAGCACTCACAAGTCAGCAGTAACACATTTCCATTATTTACCTTCCAATGTCTATATATAACACAAACTTGCCAGTGTCTTGATGTCGTGATGACATACCAGTATATCTGGTTTTGAAGGCCTGGGTATGTAAAAGAGGTTAGTAAAAAGAAATGATCTGTTGTAAAATGTTATTATTCAAAAAGAGTCTGTCTATCAAGACCACTATTTTTTTCTTGTCACCTTTTCTGAACAGATGTACATTTGAGCTTCTCGTTCCTCCTTGACTTTCCTCTACACTGAGAGATTTGGTTCGTTCACAAACAATAAGAAGATGCCGAATACGTTTTTATCGCTCACCTTATATCCAGTGCTTTGGAAATAAAAGAAATGTAAAAATAAATTTCATTTGAACAGGGCCCGTATTCATAAAACCGTTCTCGTGCTCAAGCATGGATTATGTTCTTGCAACTCACTTATAACGTGTCAATGGCTTGACTGTTTTTCGTGCTTTTTTGCCGATGACCACTTGCACTGTTCAGACTACTTTTTATTTTGACCTGAGACTTATCGTATCTGTTAAGTCGACGGATGACGGATGCCGCAATATGGCACACATGTACAAGTAGTTTGGGTACCAATTGAGATGATCCCCGAGGCATTCATTAACCGATTCCTGCGCAGTTGATCTTATCTTAAAGCTGGTAAAATAACGGTTTATTATCTTGAAAAAATATCTTGTTTTACGAAATTGGTCCAAAAATAAGGGTTTAGGAAAATGTTGAAATTTGCTCTTTGTTACTAGTTGAAAACAGCAAAGGTACCAAATGCTTCGTTTTGGGAAGTTGTGCACACGGAGCATGCGCACGCAGCATTTTTCTTAAGTAGTTTGGGTACCAATTAAATGAGAAAAAAGCTACACGGTCCTTCTTTGTTCTTACTAATAAAAATCAAACTTCAACGCGATATTAACGCGGCATCCATCAGCCAATTTCTGCGCAGTTCTCATCTGAAAGCTGGTAAAATAACGATTTCAAAAATATCTTGTTTTACGAAATTGGTTAAATTTACCTTTGTATTCTGTCGCCTGCTAGCGTTATCAGCCACAGGGGCATGATAATTTGTTACAGCTATATTTGAACCTAAACTAAGGTGTTTAGAGTTATTTTACACGTTTGGGGGGTGGGGGTGGGGGATGGGGAGGGGGGGTTAGATCTCGAGAAACCTAACTTTCTTGCATCAAAAATGACAATTCTTCAGTTGTCTTTTGTGGTTTTGTGATATCTTAACCGGTTCTCAATTCGTAGAGGTGGAATTACTTGGATTCGATCTAGATTCACTGGGAGGGGGTAATTGGTGTCGCTAAGACCCTTACCCTTACAGAACACGTGCTATCCGATTAGCTCCGGGCACGCTGCTTTCCTCCCACATTATTGTAAAATAATTAAAATTAAATTTTGGATTTTTTATCTTTTTTTTTTATCAGATGTTAAGCGTTTTAAAGTTATTCCGTATTTTACGGGCGTGTTGTAGTTTACACATATGAGTTCCCATTTAAAAAGATTTCCAGTGTTTCATTTGTGTTTGTTTATTACAAGTGTTTATTGTTACAAACGTGTATCATGTTACACATTTGTTATCATGTTTTATAGATGTTCAGTGTTCTTTACATAAATCCCGTTTTCCACATGTACAGTTTAACACATGTTCTGTTTAACATGTGCGGTTTTACACACTATCTGTATGACACATATTGTTTTACACACGTGCTGTTTAACATGTGTCGTTTTACACATGTGCGATTATACACATGTGCTAAGTAATACTTGTCGTTTAAAACCAGTTCACATTTAAACATGTGCTGTTTACCACGTGTTATTTATACAGGTGCTGTTTAACACGTGTGCCGTTTACACATGTGTATGTGCTGTTAAAATCATGTCGTTTTACACGTGAGCGGGCGGTTTTACACAATTTATGTATGACACATATTGTTTTACACATGTGCAGTTTATACACATGCTGTTTAGCACCCTTTATTTAAAACAAGTGCCGTTTTACATATATGCTGTTTAACACTTATGGTTTTAAAGACTTGTATTTCTATACATGTGCTGTTTAACATGTGTTGCTTTACACATATGCCGTTTTACACATACCGTTTTCGCAAGTGTTCTTAAACCGCGTCTCATTTTATACATGTGCCGCTGTACACATGTGTATGTGCTGTTGAACACATGTCGTTTTACATTTGTGACGTTTTCGCACGTGCTGTTTAATACGTGTCGATTTATACATGTTTCGTTTTATACACGTGCTGTTTTACACATATGCTGTGTAACATGTGTCGTTTTATACCTGTGCCGTTGTACATATATGGTGTGATGTGCCACTCTGTCGTTTTACATATGTCCCGCACCAATACACCAGCTGTTACCCGCTGCATGTATCGCAGGAGGCGACTAATGTGGGAAACCTCTGCAGAATTGGGGATTTGCTTTGGTGATAGTTGTTATATATAAGGGAAATGGCAACAACTGGTTCACCCGTTGTCAGTATAATGTCACCGGGCAGAATTTTGTGCTCTGTACGTTGGGCATAGCATTTCAGTGAGATAGCACTATACAGGCGGCATCAGATCCGCGCTATCACAGGGAGGCAATCACACCAACATACCCTGTATCCTGCATACACACACGCAAGCACGCATACACTACACGCATAGAGGCACGTCCTTAAGTGATCTTAGCTGTTGATAGGACGTTAAACAAAATTAAACCAAACCAAACCAAACCAAACACATGCGACGTTTTATACAATACACATATCGATTTACCAATGTGCATGTGACGTTTTACATATGTGCTGTTTAATATGTGTCATTTTACACCATGTGGATGTGCTGTTTTACACATGGTCTGTTTAATACGCGGCGTTTAACACATGTGACGTTTTACACATGTGTATATGAAATTTACAAATGTGATTTTTAACACGTGTCGTTTTATCACATATCATTTTACAAATGTGCATGTGACGTTTTACACAAGTGCTGTGTAACACGTGTCGTTTTATACATGTGCTATTGTACACATGTGTATGCGCTGTTCAACCCATGTCGTTTTACACATGTATCATTTTGCACACGTGCTATTTACACGTATGGTTCACACATGTGCATGTACTGTCTGAAAACATTTATGTTTAACATGTGTCGTTTTTAACTCACCTGCCCGAGTGGCAAGTGAGCTTATGTCAGGGTGCGATGTCCGTCAACTTTTATTTTAACAACTTTAACTGCCGAAGAACTGATAGGTATAGTATCTTCACATTTGGCTGGTAGTTATTTTTGGGTGGATCACAACAAAGTTTCCGAGTGAAAATGACCTTGACCTTTTTTCTAGGTCACTGGGGTCAAATATGTTAAACACTTAAAACGACTTCTTCTAAGGAACTGAAATATATAGAATCTTCTTATTATTTGGCTGGTAACTTGGTAAGAATGAGCACGACAAAGTTTGCGAATTAAAATGACCTTGACCTACTT